CTCTCTGGCTGAGAATTCTAAATGCCCTTCCCTCAACTGCAAATCCCAAAATGCAACAGGAGGCAGGCAGAGCAGTAAAAGTAGAATAGCAGCACCACTATAAGAGTGTAGTGCAGTAATCTCCTTAATCTCAACTAGAGTAGATCATTGAATTAATTGTTTATGGCTGCTCACCCCATAGGCAAATCCTATTAATCAATGAATTATCATTAATGGTATGATTGTCACTGTCAGGATAGTGGCCCTCCACATCCACTGGGGTTAGGAACCCAGGGCCCCTATGAAAGTGGGGAAAAATGCAAATAAAAAACTGCACATTTTTGCCTGAGAGAACACCTCTCTAGGAATCTGGGTTCTCCAGCGCAACTCTGTGGCCAACATCTGGCAGAAGTTGACCATAGAATTGCACTGGATGACCTACAAATGCCAAGAGAAGTATTTTCTCTAGGAATTTCTAGGTCCTCCAGTGAAACTCTATGGTCAACTTCTGGCAGGGTTGCACTGGAGGACCTAGAGATTCCTAGAGAGAACGTATTAATCAAATCTTTGAATAATCAAATCTGCAAAAGTCAAAGCCTCACATGTGGAGGGCCAACTGTACTATCTTCATTTAACTATCTTCTATTTTGATTATCTGCAACCCATCACCACTACCACCACATACTTTCTCAGTCTATGTGTTCATTGATCCCTCCCTGAAAATCTGACTAATGGTTCATGCCACTGATAAAGTGAGCTATAGCCTATTATGGCCCAATAAATGTGTTAGCCTTTAATGTGTCCTAGGAATATACGATGGCTAATGGAGTGTAGCATGGAGTTCCAAAAGAAAATCTGCATGTGCTTTATAGGCTATAGCAAAGCCTTTTACTGCATAGATCATGAAAGTCTACGGACATGGGAGTGCCAACACATCTGATAGTCCTCATGAGGAATCTTTACTCGGGACAAGAGGCTACTGTCAGAACAGAACATGGAGAAACAGTATGGTTCCCAATTGGCAAAGGGGTCAGACAAGGCTGTACCCTTTCACCCTATCTGTTCAACTTGTATGCAGAACATATTATAAGAAAAGCAGGCTTGGACAAAGAAAAAGGAAGAGTGAAAATAAGAGGAAGAAATATCAACAATCTAAGATATGCAGATAACACCATAGTACTAGCAGAAAACCTCACAGTCCTGGAACACCTGCTAAGGAAGATCCAAGAAGAAAGGGTAAAGGCAGGCTTACTGTTGAACATAAAGAAAACAAAACAGCCCACTTCAAGAGTATGTACCTGAGCTTGAAAACCAAGGATAGTATAGGGATTCTGTTGGTATACCGTCCACCCCGTTGCTTAACAGACTCCCTATCCAAGCTGACACAGCTGGTCTTGGAGCTGTTGCTGGAGTCACCTAGACTTTTAGTCTTGGGCAACTTCAACATCCCTCTCGAGACCAGTTTAACAGGTGCGGCTCGGCAGTTCATGGTTACCATGACAGACATGGGCCTATCCCAATTGGTTTCTGAGCCTACACATTCGGCAGGTCATACTCTCGATGCGGTCTTTAGTATGGAACAGGCATATCCGTGGGCAGAGGTAAAAAATACCTCAGCACTGTCATGGACGGATCGTTTCCTGGTCAAGGTTGAACTAAGAGCCACTGTCCAACCCACCGGGGGCGGAGGACGTATTAGAATTGTCCGCCCTCGAAGGCTGATGGAGCCAATAAGATTCCAGAAAGCCTTGGAGGGTTTCTTGGTTGGTAATCCCGATGACCCTGTCGAAGCCCTGGTGGACACTTGGAATACTGATCTCACCAGAGCTATTGACACGATCGCTCCCAAGCGTCCTTTCCAACCCGCTCCAAACTGTCATCTCTGGTTCACAGAAGAACTTAGGAAAATGAAGCGAGTTGGGCAACGATTAGAGTGTACCTGGCAGAAGACTCAACTCTCATCTGACAGAACACGTCATAGGCAATTCATTTATTCCTATTGAGAGGCAATACGGGCAGCAAAGAAGTCTGCGGAATCTCGTCCAACAGAACTGTTTAGGGTG